TGCATGCTTCCATATTGCGACATAAAAATAATTTGTTTCATTTCATTTTCCAAATTCATATTCATCATCTAAGTTTCTCCCCTATCCTGATTGGGGCTTTCTGATGCTGAGCTGGGAAATGTAATTTAGGGCAGGCCCTTTTGAATTCTCTGGCATAGGGCTCTTTGGCTTCCAAAACTACATTTCCCAGAATTCTGTGCTTTCTCAGCCTTTTTTCCAGTGAACTCTGCTTTTTCCCTGCTACATCCCTCTCCTAATGGTGAGAGGCCATTAATTTAAAGAGGAAAGGCAGCCTTTTTGTCTTTGCTTTGCTTCCTTGCACTGAAAACGAAACTGACTTTGGGAGTTTCCAAGGTTTACAAAATTAACAAAAAGTATTGAATAAGTTTCCATTCTTAAGTTTTTGGTACGTGCCATGCCCACATGTCAGTTATCGCCTTGTAAGTACAAATTTAACTAATATGATCCAACTTATGAGGATTAATGATAATTTTACACAGTCCTAAGAGATAGCCGAATGTAGAGCACATTGCAAAAACCCAGTCTAGAGGTTACCAGTGCATCTCTGGAGTTTCCAATTCTAGGAAAGAGTGGAGAGTGGGTATCTGCCAAAGCTGATAGTAAGCATTCCTGACCATGACATAATTCTTTGCTGGCATTTGGAGAGATGGATCCAGGAGTACAACCAAGTTTCAAACATAGTCTCATTCGGAAATGGTTGACACACCTCCACCCACAGATTTGGACCCTTGATGACAAGCACCTCTGATTTGTCTGGTTTCATTTTGAATTTGTTTTTCCTCATGATGAAATTTGGAAACTTAGAATCATAGTTTAATAGAGTTGGAAGAGACCACATGGACCATCTAGTTCAACCACCTGCCATGCAGGAAAGCACAATCAAAGTATCCCTGACAGATGGTCATCCAGCCTCTCTTTAAAAGCCTTTGATACGTTTTCAATGGCATATAGTGCATCTGTAAAGGATTGGTCTACCCTTCAGGGTTGGTGTAAAGGCAGTAAACAGGCTTGGCTTGGAAAAGCTAAGGAGAGCAGGGGGGTGGCGCGATCAGGCAGCTCCATAGCAGTCTGGTTGGCTGATGAAGTTAGAGGGAATTTCTTAGCAACTGGAGATGGGTGGAGCCAGAGGAAAAGAAAGGAGCTAATGCAGCCAGAGGCTTGTCAGTTTGGAGTTGGGAGTGGGGAGTTGGGCATTTGGTGTGTGAAGAGCAGGTTAGGAGATTTGAAGGGGAAGGAAAAGTTTTGGGAACTGTTTGTTAGAAAGATACCTCTTTGAGGAAAATACTTAAGAGCCTTCAGGGAGAAGGAGTAGGCCTCTATAGTGTTAGAGTGCTGGTGTGGAAAGAGGATTCAAAAGGTCCAAAGTAACCTGTTTATATTCCTTTGTGTGGAATATTGCTTTTAATAAACTCAAGTTATAAGACCATTCTCTATACAAGTAAAGCCTGTCAATTTATTGAAACCATTACACGGCTGGCGGGGACGAGAGATAGGGCCTTCTCGGTGGTGGCCCCTCGACTGTGGAACGCCCTTCCCACGGACATTAGACTAGCTCCATCATTAATGGTATTCCACAAAAAAGTGAAAACCTGGTTGTTTGAGCAGGCGTTCGAATAGTCAGTGCAATGAGTGTAATGAACATAGGAATGGAACAATGGATGACGGATGTGGATCATGTTTTTCAGTGACGAGACGCTAGTGAATGGCTATTGTTGTTAATTGTATACTTTTCTATAATATGTTATGATGTTAACTGTTTTTTATACCGTGTGTTGATAGCATTGAATTTTTGCTGTTCTTGTTAATCGCTGTGAGTCGGCAAAGGGCTGAGAACAGCGGTATACAAATAAAGTAAATAAATAATAAATAAATAAATAAATAAATAAATAAATAAATGTTTAGTGTTCAAGAACAAAATAAACAACATATTCTTGTTTTATTCCACCTGAAGAGTTTGTGTGGCTTCTGGAACATTCTAGTGAAGGAGGTGGCCCATTAATCAATAAATGGTGGCAGCAAAATAAACTGTAATAAATATTTGGTGGCAGCAAAGAAATATATAATATACAGTGGTAGCATCCCACTGTCCTGTCTTGTGTGTGAGGGTGTGTGTGTTCCTCACGGCCTTGACTGGCCATACCTGTCATTCCCTCTTCATCTATTATTGCAACATCAGGTATTTTCAGAGAAATAAGTAGCCATACAGACACCAGTACTGAAATTTACATCAATATATTTATTACACAAACAGAGGGGAAATATCTTATTCACTCGCAATCCATACATTCAAAATACACACTCATCAGTTGATCAGGCTTTGTTGGGAGAAAGGAAGCAGGAGAACAAACACTACCTCCCCTGTATGTCTGGCATACCCTCAGTAAGGAAGAGAGTCTTACTCACAGCATGTAAGGATTTTCTTATCCATCATTTGATGGTTTGTGACCATTCTGTTGGACCAAATGGAGCTTCATCAATCATAGAACTAATAGGTTGTTTCAAGTTCCTTAATTTAAAAAGTTTTTGTCTTTGACTGTATAAGCATATCATCTTGAACCCAATGTTCTCAAATCAGTTCATTGATTTTTTTTATCTCATCAGCACTTTTCTCACCAAAGTTTATGAACTTTGTAGTTCCTTGACTTCTTTGCTCTCCCATAATGCAATTCCCGGGTTCTATGTTGAAATGGTGGCTTCAGCTTGCTATGTTTTAGTAGGCCTCAGCCAGACCACAGGCACGCAATCTATTCATTACATACAGATTGATAGTTTTGTGACACGGCACCAGCTTGGAATGACTGAGGGTGAACCCCAGGTATCTCCAAGAAGAATGGAGTGGGACATCAGAAAATCAAGTAGTTAGTGCAAAGCCTGCCATTTTCATGGAGCTGAAGAAAATGGATCCGTGCACAAGCCTACTGTGTAGTACATTCAACTGATACTATCTTCTGAGTTTGCTTGTAATAATAGAGTAACATGATTGGAGGAGAAAAACGCATTAGTTGGAGAAAAACAATACATACTGGGGATGGGAGACAGCTGTGCTGTGTTGGGCCAAAATTTGGTTGTAGAATGCAGGCTTCAAGAAGGGTCAGAACAAAATCAGCTTCTGAGCTCTGTAAAGATGAGTGTTGAGTTATAGAACTCTTGACTGGCCATACCTGCCATTATCGCTTCATCTATTATTGCAGCATCAGGTACTTTCAGGGTTCGTGCCCTGCGGGACTTACCAGCTTTCCGCAGGGCATGTAAGACATACCTGTTCCAACAGGCTTTTAATGTTTGATACTGTTGTTTTTAAATTGTTTTAAATTGCTTTAAAATTTTGTTAGATTTTAGCCATTCTTGTAAGCCGCTCCGAGCCCCAGGGGAGTGGCGGCATATAAGTTTAAATAATAAATAAATAAATAAATAAATAAATAAATAAGTAGCCATACAGACACCAGTACTGAAATTTACATTCATGTATTGATGACACAAACAGAGGGGAAACATCTTATTCACTCAAGACGTTCACTCATAATCCATACATTTAAAATGCATACTCATCAGTTGATCAGGCTTTGTTGGGAGAAAGGAAGCAGGAGAACAAACACTACCTCCCCTGTATATCTGGCATACCCTCAATAAGGAAGAGAGTCTTACTTACAGTATGTAAGGATTTTCTTATCCATCATTTGATGATTTGTGACCATTCTGCTTGACCAAATGGAGCTTCATCATTAACGAACTAATAGGTTGTTTCAAGTTCCTTAATTTAAAAGGAACAATACATATATTGGCTCACATCTTTGGCACAATGGAGTTGTTTTTTAAAATTGAGAATTGTAGTTTTTTGATGTATCACAAACATAGAATGACCAAGGCTAAATCTGAGGTATCACCAAGAAGAATGGAGTGAAACACCAGAAAAACAGCTGGTGGTGAATGCCAAGTCTGCCATTTTAAAGGACCTGAACCCTGGACCAGGCCCGTAGCCAGGATTTTGATTCGGGGGGGGGGGGGGCTGAGTCTGAGTGAAAGAGGGTTTACCCTAGCAAACCTTTTGTATCATTACCCCAATACCCCCATGCATATGAGATATATTGAGCATGGTGATCAGATCATGATATTAATAAACATAACAGTTTAAATAATGTACCAGTAAGGCCTTTTCGCAGACCACCATGAGAATTTCGGGGGGGGGGGGGTATATATACTCCACTTGCTTTACCACCATGAGTTCATCTGAAGATGCTAGCTACAGATGCAGGTGAAACGTCTGGAGAAAATACTTCTCGAATATGACCATATAGCCTGGAAACCACACAACACACCAGTGAACAAGGCATGTTTATTTGAGACAAATGTGTAAATTAAGAAAGAAGATGGCATTCAAAATAACACACCTTCTTTGCTACATTCTCATAATGAGCCAAATACTGAAATAAAGTTAGCTTGTGACTTATGAGGCTCCTGTTAGTAAGAATCTAGGAAAAAAAAATATGTAAAATGAATGCAGCAAAGACAGTTCATTGATGTTGATTATCCATTTTAGATGGACCCCATCCTGAAATGATGCCTAAGGCAAGGCAATCTTTCCCAATAATGTACTGTACAAGGTGGGAGACATGGAAAACTCAGGCAATCTATCACCCAGTCCTGGTAAAAAGTTGAAGAGTTAAGAAGCTAGAATAGTATAGAGGTGGAATCCCATCACCCAAATTTCAAAATGATGGATGATGTAGCTCAGTGATAGATAAACTGGTTTTACTTTTTTTTATTTTAAGAACTTTTTGATATGTATATTTTGTGAATTCTAAATATGTTTTTAACTATAGTAATTTACTTTGAGAGCCAAACTGGGGAAATGTTGATGTGTAAATATTAACAAAAGATTAGGATGTTCTGGTGTGTTTGCACTGGTTGTTCCAATTAAATGAATCCAAATCAGTTCATCTGTAAAGATGACATGGGTTTGGTAGGCCCATAAATAGCTGGACATTCGATTGATTGCTAGATGCGGAAACTTTCTCTCCAACTATCCAACTTGAGTTCCTGATCAACCTTTGACAATGCAGATCAGCTGGCTTTCCATACTTATCCTTTCAGGAATGATCTTACTTTGTGAAGGTAAGAAGATTCAGACCCTGGCATAGTGATAGGGTCACCTACTGTTTCTTCACCCATTGAGACAATATCCTTTGCTGTCCTTTGATATGTTCATCTTGCCTTCTGCCAATTTCTTTATGAGTTTTAACTTTTTCTCCCCAGGAGAAAAATTCTCAGATACATCATGTCGGGTCAAGGGTGGAGCATGTATGAAGAAGAAGCTGTGTGGAGACTGGAAAGAACTTGGAAAATGTGGGTTAACGGAAAGGTGCTGTAAGCCTGGTGGCAATACCGGCGAGTAAGTTTTCTCCTTTTTTGTCTATTGTTGTTGTTTAGCCTAGTCTTTAGTTACATTCAAACTAGAAATACAAATACATAGACAACACTATATATGTGTATTTCAATGCAATTTTCCTGCGTCTTGACAGGGGGTTGGACTGGATGGCCGACAAGGTCTCTTCTAACTCTGTGATTCTATGACTGATCTTTCTATTCAACAGTATATCTTTATTCTGAAGGATCTTGTTTAGTTCCTTTGTGGCTATGCTTCTAAGTCTTAAGCCCCTTCTACACTGCCATATAAAACAAGATTATCTGCTTTAAACTTGATTATATGGCAGCATAGATTTATATAATCCAGTTCAAAACAAATAATGTGGGAGATCTATTTTGATCATCTGGATTATATGGCTGTGTAGAATCTTCTTCTGATTTCTTGACTGCAGTCTTCCTTTTGATCAATGATTAAATAAAGGTATAAGAAATCTTTGACTATACCAATATTGGATATATTTATTAACACACTGGATTTTCTTATGTGTTGACTTATTTTTCAATTTTACCAATGTGTCAAAGAACATGACATCAAAATGATCAAAAATTCAACGTATCCAGCCTTTGCTTATCCAACATTCCATATTATCCAATGCGCCTTGACTACTTCTGGCTTGGAAGAATAAAAACAAGGCTCTTCCTCAGAAAATTGCAACAAGGCTCTCCTTCCTTCTTTCCTTCCTTCCTTCCTTCCTTCCTTCCTTCCTTCCTTCCTTCCTTCCTTCCTTCCTTCCTTCCTTCCTTCCTTCCTTCTTCTCTTCTTTCTCTGGCTCCTGCTCTGGACTCTACTTCCCTCCTTGCTGTTTCTCTCCTCCCTGGGAATTCGCATTCAGCCAGGCAAGGCTTTGGGAAAGCGGCCTTCGCGTGGGTGAAGGGGGAGCCCTGCCAAGGCTGCCTGCTGCCCTGGTTACTCAGCCAACCTTGCTCTCTGGTGCTCTTGACCTTGGCATCCATCCTCACCTCGCCTCCCTCCCTGCAGCCCTGCCCATCTCTTTCTCTGTCACTGTCACTCTTTTGCCAGCAGCAGAAATGTTTGCTTTATGGAAGAGGGAAAGAAAGAAAGAAAGAAAGAAAGAAAGAAAGAAAGAAAGAAAGAAAGAAAGAAAGAGTGTGGCACTGAAGGCGAGAGGCAAGGAAAGGGGAGTTGTGTGAGGGAGGAACCTGGGAGAGATGTCAAGAGCCCCCATTCCCTCCCTCCTGCCTTTGCTCAGGTTTAATAGACTTTTCCTTAATCCTGCCATATTATCTGACATTTTCACTTATCCAATGTTCTGGCAACCCATTTATGTTGGATAAGCGAGACTCTGCTGTACCAATTACTTATCCTTCAATGCCTGAGGTGTCAGATATCCTGACAGTTGAATGAATGACAGGACATAAACTCCATGTGCCCAACGGGATGCCGGGGCTGCCTCAGATTAAAGGCCCTTGGATTTCCTTAAAACAGAGTCTTTAGATTGCTTAAAGGTTCTACAAAGTTCTTTATTATTGAAAACAAACAGGTACTTTAAGGCTTTTTTAATAGTCTATTGGCTCTCTCAATCTTGTTCACTGGGAGCAGGCACTATCTTCATAAACTGTAATTTACCTAATGGGAAAATCCTTAACTTCTAATCTGGGCAGTCTGTCTTTGCCTCTGTTGGCGTGGAGCCCCTACACCTGGTACCAACTGCTTCTGGCTTCCGCGAGTGACCCTTACCAAGTGGAGCTTTGTAGACTTCCAGGGGAAAAAAGAAGGAATTCAGGCTTTGGTGATGGCTGACTGAAGTCCCTCAGCGAAGGAGCTGCAGGGCTGTATAACCCCGGTCAAACTGTAGGCTGTATATCTCCCCGGCCAAGCCGTAGAAGACGAAGCTTTCTACAGGAGCTCTTGGTATTATGTCCTGCATGAAAAGCTTCTCTGTGTGGACTGACCCAAAAAGGCTGCTATTCCCTCCAAAAACCCAAAAGGGGGCAGGACCAGGGAACCTAACTATAATTGACAGGTGGCTTGCCCTATGACTGCAAACTTTAACAGGAAGCCACCCTGCTGCAAAATCCCAAGCCTAGGATTGCAGGCAAACCTTTAATATAAAGCAAATAAAGTTGGAGCCCTTGGTACTGCCGTACCAGAACAGATAGGCAATTTTGATCTTTCTGATATTTCAAGTGATGTTTCAGGAAAAACAGCAGCATGCAAAACCCAACTAAATTGATCATTGGTTTGGTTGTAAATGTCAGGTATATACTTTAAAAGTACCCTCTCTCTCTCTCTCTCTCTCTCTCTCTCTCTCTCTCTCTCTCTATATATATATATATATATATTCCAAGGAAGAAATAATGTATTGTAATGGATACAGACAGAAAAGTATGACCATACCAACACATTATTACTTTATGCCACAAAATCACAAATGATGATTTTAGAAAGTGTTGCTGGGAGAAATTATTCTACAGAATTCTCCTAATTTACTAAGACTAAATTTAACAGATATCTTTCCCATTTTCCAGTACAGGCTACTTGTGTTGACTTGCCATCATTTTAGGAAAAGTTTGAAAATTATGATTGATTTCTCATAGATCCATAGATGGGATCTCTTTACTGACTTTTGCAGTTCCTTCTCAAAACTCAGGACTTCTACCACACAAATAACATTCAACTGTAATTTTCATACATGGCATGATATAAAATTCCTTCCCCTGGTTTCTGTATGTAGTGTAATTTTAAATATATATATAATTTTCTTGCAGAGAATGAATGAAAATGAACATCTGTGAACGCCTGTCATTTGGAACCTAAAGGAAATGCATCACTGGCGTATTGAGCTTAATCTTCACAAATCCACCAATCAAGCCATCCTTCTGCTTTATAACATTGGAAATGATTTGAATAAATACCTGCTTGATTGCAAGAGTTTTCCTCATGTGTATTTATGGTCATGGACAAAGTTAGCCATGGAAAACCACTGGGTGACCTTGGGCAAATCACATTCTTTCAGTCTCTAAACAAACTTGTAATAAGTCAAAATGACTAGCCATCACTCAGAAATGGTTGCCATGTTGAATCGGATTTATTTATTTATTTACTTACTTTATTTACTTTATTTATATACCGCTTTTCTCAGCCCTCAGGTGACTCAAAGCGGTGAACAACATCAATACAAAACATCACGAGACAAGTATAGGGCAATTAAAAACAATTGTAACATAAATCATTAAACATCCGTATAACAACCATTAGCGCCTCAACAGTAAAATCAGAATCCAGTCTCGTCATCCATTATTCCGTATTCCTATGTTCAATTACACTGTTTAATCAAATGCTTGTTCGAACAGCCAGGTCTTCACTTTCCTCCGAAACACCAGCAGGGAGGGGGTTCTGATATCTGCAGGCAGGGCGTTCCACAGGCGAGGGGCCACCACTGAGAAGGCCCTGTCTCTCGTCCCAGCCAAGCGTGCCTGTGATACAGGCGGGACAGAGAGCAGGGTCTCCCCAGATGATCTTAGTGTCCTAGCCAGTTCATAGGAGGAGATGAGTTCAGAGAGGTAAGTAGGGCCAGAACCATTTCCCAGGCACCAGCACTGAAATCTCTGATCAACCACAGAAACTTAATTGTATGTCTTTGGACAAGGCACACTCTCACTGCTAAAGAGGAAGACTACGGCAAGCCTGGCTCCCCCCCCCCCCCCATTGTTGCTAATGCAACACAGGAAGCGTCATGTGTTGCTGCCATGGTGGCATATGCCAGTTCCTTTTTAGTTTTGCTACAGAACCCTGCCGGAAGTAGCTGTACATCATGGAATGGGAATCGGCGGGCTCTGTTGCATAACTAAAGAGGAACCAGAGTATGCTGCCAAATAATGGCCCGTCTGATGTCTTTAAATGATAAAAAAAAAAGTTTAACTCTTGGACGAGGAAAAAGTAGTTAGTTTAAACTTCTAGAAGGTCTCTTGGTATGCCAGGATATCTTAAGTTCCTTACATGCACTAACCTAAGCCCCTTCCACATAGATATCTTAGAATCTGATCCTGGATTATCTGCTTTAAACTGAATTATATGAGTCACTAGTGTCAAATAATTTGGGATAAGAAGATAATCTGGGATCAGATCCTGGGATATAGGGGAAGTATGGAAGGGGTCCAAGAACGTTCCAAAAAGGATAACTATTGAAATCAATGAGTTGTTGTGAGTTTTCCGGGATTTATGGCCATGTTCAAGAAGTATTCTCTCCTGACATTTTGCCTGCATCTATGGCAGGCATCCTCAGAGGTTACAAAGTTTGTTGGAAACTAGGAAAATTGGGTTTATATATCTGTGAAATGTCCAGGGTGGGAGAAAGAACTCTTGTCTGCTTGAGGCAAGAATAAATGTTTCAGTTGGCTTCCTTGATTAGCACTGAATGGCCAAAGAGTTTCAAGGTTTGGCTTCTTACTGCCTGGGGTAAATCCTTTGTTGGGAGGTGATTAGCTGGCTCTGAATCTTTCTTGTCTGGAATTCCCCTGTTTTTGAGGATTGTTCTTTATTTACTGTTATGATTTTAGAATTCTTAATACTGGTAGGAAGATTTTGTTTATTTTCATGGTCTCTTCCTTTCTGTTGAAATTGTCCACATGCTTATGAATTTCAGTGGCTTCTCTGTGTAGTCTGACATAGTAGTTGTTGGAGTGGTCCAACATTTCTGTGTTCTCAAATAATATGCTGTGTCCAGGTTGGTTCATCAAGAAGCCATAGAAATACTTCTGGAACATGGCCATACAGCTTGGAAAACACACAACAAGCCAGTGATTCCATCCAGGAAAGCATTTGACAATAATATGAAATCAAGCTTATTTGCATCAATGATGTTTGATCAGGATATAAAGTTGTCCAGCTGCACGGGAAGGTTCTGTTTCTCCTGGAAGGCTGAATGCCTAGCAATGCATAAGACTTTGTGTAAATTACAAGGCCTGTGGATTAGTGGTCCTGACACAATGTACTCAAACAATTGCATTAAGTTCAACACACAATGTCCCTACAAATGACACAGTACCTAAGATGAAGGAAGTGTTGTGTAAAACATTCCGTTGATAATATCTTCTGGATTTGTTGGATTGGAATAATAGAGTCACATCTTTGAACCAAGGGAATCCAATCATATCATCTGTACATATGATTTCTTCTTGCCTTGCACACTCTGTCTTCTCGAGGATTACTCTCCTGTGAAATGAGCAATTGGAATTATATAAAGATCATTCCTGTGATAATTTTGGTGGGCAAATAATAATAATAATAATAATAATAATAATAATAATAATAATAATAATGATGATTCAATGAGATACTGCAAACTGGAAACATCAGCAAATGGATAAAAACTGGGAAGACATATTTGATACAGAAAGATCCAGCAAAAGGGATAATACCAGGAAACAACAGGCCAATAACGTGTCTGCCTACAATGTTCAAACTGCTGACAGGAATAATAGCTGATCAAATCCAGGCAGGCCCGTAGCCAGGATTTCGTTTCGGGGGGGGGGGGGGGAATTTTTTTTCAGGGGGGTTGGGGGGGCGAGTTTCGGGGGGGTGAGTCTGAGTGAAAGAGGGTCTACCCTAGCAAACCTTTTGTATTATTACCCCAATACCCCCATGCATATGGGATATATTGAGTATGGTGATCAGATCATGATATGAATAAACATAACAGTTTAAGTAATGCACCAGTAAGGCCTTTTCGCGAACCATGATGAGAATTTCGGGGGGGGGGGGCTTCAGCCTGAATCCAGGAGTACTTGGAGGAAAATAGCATCTTGCCAGTAGAACAAAAAGGCAATAAAAGAAGAAGTAGGGGCATGAAAGATCAGCTACAAAGTTTGTTGGTGACAGTGAGTCGCCCTGGAAAATTCCTCTATGGATGCTAACAGTTCCATAGTTTTTGTTGCCCATGAACAACATAGTTTTCCATTGTTTATGACTGAGGTAGTCATTAGGGCTGGGCGGTTTCGTTCGTTAATTTCATAATTCGTTAATAATTCGTATTTAAAGTGGCTTATGATCCGATATTGAACCAATCAGGAACAACTAAAAATCGAAACAAATTTTTAAAATTTATTTCATAATTGTTTCGAAATTGTTTCGAAATTGTTTCGTTATTATTTCGTTATTATTTCCGTATGTCTGGTGCAAGTTTTATAGTTGTTTGTTTTATCAGTGATAAAAAAATAAATTATCACACCAACAGTCAACAACAGAGGGAGAGGGAAGCTTTAGAAGTTCCCCCTGTCCCATTTGGAGGGTTTTTTAGCGTATTGCGGAATCGCGTCTGCCATTAACGAATCGATTCATTATTGTTTTGAAATTGTTTTGTAATTTCCGAAATTTTGTAAATATCGAACTTTTTTAAAGAAAAATTTCGGAATTCTTTTAAAAAACGAAACTCAACCCCCCCCCCCCTAAAAACGAATCGAGTTTAGAAACAAATTTTTCCGTGGTTGCCCAGCCCTAGTAGTCATATATTCTAACGGCTGAATGACAGATAGAAAATGTTGATCTTTCCAATATTTGTGGATAATGGGTCTTTCAGCTAGAACAAGAGCATGCAATATCTAACTAAATTAATAATTTACAATGATTCCTTGACTTGATTGTTTAATTCATTCCATGAATGAGCCCTTAACTGAAAATGAATTTTCCCATTGAAATGCTATTAATTCATTCCAGCCCACTGGAATGTAAATAAATATATTAACAATAGATGAGAATGTTCTTTTTTGTATGCATGTTCCAATTAAGTGAATCCAAAACAAATCACCTGTAAAAATGACATGGGTTTAGTAGGCCCATAAATAGCTGGACATTCGACTGATTGGTAGATGCGGAAACCTTCTCTCTGACTGTCCAACTTGAGTTCCTGATCAACCTTTGACAATGCAGATCAGATGGCTTTCCATCCTTCTCCTTTCAGGAATGATCTTACTTTGTGAAGGTAAGGAAGTGGTCTACAAACACTTAGAAACAAATACGGACATTGCTAATAGTCAACCCAGATTTATCAAAAACAAGTCATGCCAGAGTAATCTGATCTCTTTTTTTTTTTTGATAGAGTTACAAGCTGGGTAGGTGTGGGGAAGGCCATGGATGTAGCGTACCTGAATTTCAGTAAGGCCTTCGACAAGGTCCCCCATGACTTTCTGGCAAACAAACTAGTCCAATGTGGGCTAGGCAAAACTACAGTGAGGTGGATCTGTAATTGGTTAAGTGGACGAACCCAGAGGGTGATTCTCACTAATGCTTCCTCTTCATCTTGGAAAGAAGTGACGAGCAGAGTGCCGTAGGGTTCCATCCTGGGCCTGGTCCTGTTCAACATCTTTATTAATGACTTAGATGAAAGGTTAGAAGGCATGATCATCAAGTTTGCAGATGACACCAAATTGGGAGGGATAGCAGATACTCCAGAGGACAGGAGCAGGATTCAAAATGATCTTAAACCGCATTGAGTCGCCTGTTTGGGCTGAAAAATGCGGTATAGAAATAAAGCAAATAAATAAATCTTGACAGATTAGGGAGATGGGCCAAAACTAACAAAATGAAGTTCAACAGTAACAAATGCAAAGATACTCCACTTAGGCAGAAGAAATTAAATGCAGAGATAGAGAACGGGGGGCACGTGGCTCGAGAGCAGTATATGTGAAAAAGATTTTGTGGTCCTTGTGGACAACAAGTTAAACTTGAGCCAACAATGTGATGCAGCGGCAAAAAAAGCCAATGGGATTTTGGCCTGCATCAATAGGAGTATAGTGTCTATATCTAGGGAAGTCATGCTACACCACTATTCTGCCTTGGTTAGACCACACCTGGAATATTGTGTCCACTTATGGGCACCACAGTTGAAGAGAGATATTGACAAGCTGGAGGGTGTCCAGAGGAAGTCGACTA